TTCAAAAATTCAACAAATTTTCTCTTTATCTCACCCAGATTTTTCTTGTGGTTAAAGTGATTTTTTTTTTAAAATTAAATTGGAGATCGAATTGGGGAAATTTGTGGTTTAAGGTTTAATTTATTCAACCGATTAAACTTACAGTCAAACCGGTTATTAAATAAATAATAATATGAAACTAAATTTCATAAATATGTCACTCATAATCATATATTCACAATTTAATAAAATAAAATATTTCAAAAATTCATTACAAATTTAATACAACAATATCAATAATACATATAATAACATGCGAGAGTTCTACACCTCATTTCAACCTTCAGTTAAGAATAGTTTGACCAAATTAAAGAACTACAATAAAATAAGTTAAACTAATTCAAACCAAAATTAAAATAATAGAATATAATAACTAAAATAAAATACAAATTGTTAAAAATACCTAAATCAAATAAGATACAATACCAAAAATAAACAATCAATATACTTCATTAACCGACAAAAAAAAATGAATTTGAGTTGAATTACGACAAACAAGTCTTAATTGACAACAAAAAACAATATTGACTTGAACGACAATAAATATTGAGTTGGACACCGTGACTATGTTTGAAAGAGACAATGTGATGATGATGGAGTGTGGTTGAAAGAAAAATTATAATGGAGTGAAAAAATTTAAAAGTTTGTATGGTTGTAAAAAAATACATAATTCTTTTTTGTGATTGAAGAATGTATGTTAAGTTTTAATCTTGACATATTAAAAATTTTAAAATAAAAAAATGGTCAATTTGATGCATTTTTTTTTAACCGGGCGGGTTTACAAAGCTGACTCCGGTTCTTTGGTTTTAATGGTTTTGGACGATTCAATCCAGTTTTGACCCACTAGCAGTTTTGAAAGATTGACCAAACCAGATTCATCTTCGGTTCTCGATCCAACCGATTGAACCGGCTGGTTCGGTCCGATTTTTAAAACATTGGTTAAACTCCTTTATGGGTACATGTTCACTTGCCTAATACAAAAGAAAACAATATGTCTCGGTCTCTTAAAAAATAATCATTGAGTATTCCCTTCTATCTTGAACTCGTACAAGCCAATCTTTTCAATTCTTGTAGTTGAACGCCTTTGATATCGTCGAGCGAAAAGAAGATGTCTATAATAGGCATTATCTCCAAGCATCTACATATAATTTAAAACTTATCTAATGAAGGTTCAACTGTTTGGATTGAGTTGGGTTGAGGCGGTTCTCAGGATATTAAATTTAAACACGATAAACGAGATATCTTCACTCCCATGTCATAAAGGACACTAGTAATAGAAGGGGATGGTCAAATTCGCCCTCTCACCTTCATTGACCACGCTAGTGAAGAAGAAGGGGATGATGTCAAATGGCGGGTAGTGTTGAAGGTTGAGAAACACAAGAAAAAAGTGTTTGAATTGGGTTTCATTTTTGTCCACATTTTTGGAAATTAAATCAATTGCATTAGCAAGTAAATAAAATAAATGAACACAATTATTTTATCATGGTTCACTGTTAACAAAGTTACTCCAGTCCACCCCTCAAGGTGGTTTCGCCTTATCACAAGGACTTAATCCACTAATCATCAACATGATTACAACCACAATGGATACCTTCCATTGCCTTCTTGAGAATCATGTCATTCATTCGCCTCTCAAGAAATCAACCTCTAAGTTGTTCAACGACGACCCGATCCTCTCAAGCATCCTGGTCATCACACGACTGTTTGAGTAACAACATCCACTAAGTTGTTAGAAACACACTTAGTCGTCTCAAGCTTTCTGGTCTTCACTCGACCGCTCAAGGAACAATACCTTATTCAAGGATTTTCTTGTGCACTAATATGCTTCTTACAAGCTGATTACACAGATGAAGTATATGAACACCTAAGTGTTTCTAAGCAAGATGTGAGCAACAACTCCTTGCTTTCTAATACAGAAAACTATCTAAAGAGTGAATCTTTGAGAGATTATAAAACACTAGTTCTGTATTGCTTAGAAGCCTTCTTGATGAGCACTAAGGCTTCTTATCATGAGCTTTAGCTTCTTTTGATTTCTCCTTCTTAAGTGAATAATACTTCTTCTAGTTTAACCATCAAGATTAACTAAGTTACTATGCTTCACTTATTGATGTTTCACATGGCTTCAGCATATTAAATTGTTGTACGCACTTTAATTTTGCTTCAGCTTCATCTTCATTGAACATTCTTCATTTAGGCTTTAGCTTGTAGCATTTTCTTCAGCATTTTGACTTTGCATAGTAGCGTGCTATCATCAACAACTTGCTATTTATTTTCTACAAATCAACAATTCTTCAAGCTTCTTGATCTTTAATTTATAGAGCTTGAGAGAATAGATCTGTTGAAGGGTATTCTTGGAAACATATTCCAACAGCAATATCCCAACGTTCATGTGAAGGAATGATCAACATCAATGTACAAAAAGCTGCTCATACGCCACCTTTTCGAGGTAAAGGTAATAGAATTTTAGTACTATTATATTCAACTTAAAAATCATTCTTATATTCAGTCTCGTAGCATCTTCAGAGGCTTAAGATATTAAATTGATGAAGCGTGTTGTAGAAGAGTCTTTTTTTTTTGTGTAATCTTCAGAACCTCAGTCTTTAGAATTCCAAGATCTTTGTTTAGCAGAATCTATCTTGAAAAACTTCATCACTTGTTCTTTTAGACGCATTATCTTCAGAGTCTTCAGAACTTGTTCTTTCAGAACCTTGTTTTCAGAGTCTTCAGATTTCATTGAGCATGTTCTTTGTCTTTAGCGTCTTCAGCATTTCGTCTAATCAGAACCTTCTCTTTAGAAACTCTTCAGAACTTGATCTTCACAAATTGTGTCTTCAAAATCTTTAGAACTTTGTTCACTTGAACCGCGTCTTCAGAGCTTGTAACATTAGAAGCACATCACATTAGAAAGTCTTGTAGACCTTTCTCATAAAGTCTTAATTAGAATGTCCAGAACTAACATTCATTAGAATCATTGTATTAGAAACATTCATGAATCTTGACTTTAACTTGTACACACATATGTTTTCTTCTAGAGTGTTGATAATAGAGTTTGATGACGTCACACACCTTCTTATCAGAGTCAGAATCATATTGGCAACAACCACACACTAGACATAAACCATATCATACATAATTGTTTTCTTAAATAACATGTGCAGTTATCATCAAAACTTAATGGCCAGATGTAGAACCAAATCTTGTTCTTACAAGTGTGTGTAATCAACATTACTGAGCTCGTTTGTCTTAGGAAAGAATATGATAAAATAAGGTCATTATGACTACTCTCTTCTGAATCAGAACCAATAAAACTATTATGATAACTTCCAAATATTCTCAGTTCTACAAGTTTCAAATCTATAATCTCATCATGCCACATTGAGTTCGCTACAGAATGTTTCTATATTCTATACTTTTTTCTACAAGTTTCAAATCTGTAATCTCATCATGCCACACTGAGTTCGCTACACAATGTTTCTATTGACACTTTTCAAGTTATGACTCCATGTCTTTGTCATCTATAATTTTTAGTGCAAGAATTTTTTTTATCACCTTCATCGTTTTCAACAAGACATTTTAACTCAATTTTATGCTCTTGTAATTTATCAAACAAAATATTCAAATACATAGAAGATAAATCTTTTGATTCATAAATCAAAGTAAATTTAGGTATTCAGCTGAGGTTTTAACATCTAAAGACTTTGTTAATTAAATTCTCTTTTTATTTTATAATATATTTACCTAGAGTTCTTAAGTGATTAACAATATGAATAAATCATTTTCTATATTATGAATACTTTCTTTAGATTTCATTCTAAACGGTTCATACTCATGAATCAATGTATTTATCCCAACCATTATTATCTTATTTGTACCTTCGTAGGTAACTTGAAGGATGTTCTACATTTCTTTTGTAAAATTATAGTGTGAAACTAAAAAAAAAAGTTCACTCATGCCTAAAGTAATGTTAATGATAGTTTTACCTTTCAAATCGTACTGCACTTTTTATTTATCCTCTTTGGTCCAAAGATCTCTAGATTTGTTTTCCAAAACACAACCAACTTGATGTATGGGAACAAAATGACCATTTATAACAATTGTTCGAATATCACAAATGCATCCCCTCTATAAAGATTTTTATCTTCTCTTTTCATCAAAAATATTTATCACCGTTAAAGAATGAGGTTTGTTTAATAAATCATTTGAAGTTTTTTTTACTGTCCGAGACAGTTAATATAAAAATAGTTCGATATTATAACAAACTTGGATATTTCCAATAATATTTGAAAGTGCATCTTGACATTAACTGTAACAAATGTACAAGGAGATTCCAAGTACAAGTGACTTGATAAATCACTACACATACTACAACAAGTTCTCACTAATAAACAACATAAACTACAACGGAGTTCGCGCAGCTCAATCACGTGCGAGCCATGATTGCTGCTGAAACCAAAGCAAGAAGACAGTCGAAAACAAGTTTAGCCGAAGATTTATGCCAAGGTTCACAAATTGGCTTCTACAAAGTACAAATCCATGTAGAGAGAACAAAGTCAAAGATAAATATCATATCACTGGTTATGTACTTTCTAGCGAGTGTATCATGGCCATTACCAGCTCATAATTTACAGGATTTACGATAAAGTTGGACTCGAATAAAAGGGCCAGGTCACACATGATTTATTTATGGTTCAAACAAACTCACCTACCAACCCTTGACAAGGATCTTTGGAAGCTTGCATCAGAAGAAAGTTCTAAACTTGATCTGAATCTTCTTACAGAATGCTATCATCCATCTGTTAAACCAAAATAAGATAAACGGAAGATATACAGTTAGCAACAAAAAAAAATAGAAGTGATTTTTACATGCAAACATGCAAAAAGAGGGGTGAGAACTCGAAACCTTTTTAGCCAAGATTGCATTGCCAGGCATCATGTAAGTATGTGAAAACTGCAACAAAATGTCAAGTAAAAGAACCACGGCATTTCAATGATCCGCATAAGCATTTCTTTCTACCTTTGTGTGCACTGCTACCCTCAGCGTTATCAGATCGATCAGCTCCGTAGTCATATGTCAACTCTTGCAGTGGAGGAATGTGTCTCAATGCAAAAAATGCAACATGGAGAAAGGACTGGTTGTTCTCTTCGTATAAGATAGGCTGCCAGAAAACATTTGGTGAGCAACTATGATTCATGAATCTAGCGACATTTCCAACATTCTTAGCATTTATAATAAGAGGATGTGGCATAGCGTAATCCTCACTAGACTCGTTTGCTCTCACTTCATCCAGTAACTCAGGCTCATAGTTCCACTTGAAAGATTCATAAACACGGGTTGTATCGAAAACATACTCATCAGTATCTCCTTCTTTTATAAGCTGACTTAACCTAGCTTTATCAATAACTTCTCCTGCATACTCGCAAATAAAAGCGCCGGCACGAATAGGATCCCATGATCGTAGACCCCAGCCTTTATCCTTTGTTTTGAACACTTCCATTTGGTGTTTTATACCGGTTTGAGATACTCGGTTTTTGCAGTTTGGAAAACATTTACATGTAGGGCCACATTCATGAATCAACGGCTTCCGGCTCACCAGAACACCTTGGATGATATACGGAAAATCACCTTCGTTTCTCTGAATGCAAGAGCAGTTCAAATCACCTGGGAAACATGTTTTTTTAGCACTACAGCTGCAACCATGTGAAGGCTGCGTTAAACTGAATGATTTTGGATGTCTAAGAGAGTGGAAATATGTGAAAAAGGCAGGTGACTTCACGTTATCGACTTCATTGACAAGTGAAACAGGAATACTCTCAGCTCCTGAGGATAGGTCTGGGAGAATAAGTCCAGTCCTCGCAGAAAATCCAGATTTCCACTTCTGAATCGATTTCCAAACGGAAAAGGCACTAGGTTGTCCGGGCACTCTTATCAACTTATACTTAAACAAGCTGCCGTCGCCTTCTTTTGCTATTTCAGCCCATGAATCTTGAATTTTATACAGACCATCATAGACGTAGATTTTTGAGTTCAAAGCCGTAGTATCTTTCATTCCCCGGATGACTCTTATTTCATTGTGTTGTCTTGAACTTCTATCCAAAGCAAGATTACCCCTATGAAGCTTCTGATCAGACATATGCTTCTCTTTCTTTTTGAAATTCCCAGCCTGACCGGTGTAAATTATAACATCACCATCTTCAGGTTCATCGTCGTATTCATCTGACGAAACAATGCAAACAGCCAAAGTCTCATCCTTATGGTCACTCTTGATGGCATCAATTCCCCCCATCGATTGGAAATGCAAACCAACAGCACACATTTCCATCCGGAAAAAGAATATGTCCCCAATCTCAACTCCAGGTACCGAGCCAATTCTCTTCGTCGCATTTGTTCGAATTCCTTTGGACAAACAAATATTCCCAGCTTTCAAATCGGCACGCGTAATCTTACCCAGGTTCAATTCCTTGGCATTAACAAGTTGACATAGCCTTCTTCTTAGTGCATCAAATGACATGAGCACAATATTAACAACTTCTCGGTTACCATCATTTTTTTCTGCCGGGCCTATACCAACTAAACCACTCCAATCAACATGGACATTATTACGTAGTTTGATCTTTTGTAACTCAACCCGGCTCGAACGCGATGGTGCATTTCTTTTGTGACTATAACCATCATTGCCATTGAGATCCTCATTCTCTCCCAGAGGACTCCTAGACGCTCGAATCGGAGCCGGCATAGCTCTACCTCTTGGTTTCACCCCAGTGGTTGAACTCTCCTGAGGTCCACCAAATGGGAAAAACGGAGAAAACCCGGAAGGATACTGTCCCGAAGACGGAGCTTGAGGATTCTTCGAAAAAACAGGTATCAAACATCTTATAGGCTTAATATCAAGAATCTTAGTCTTGTCAATGGAACCTGGAGGAGGAACTGAGTTTCTACCTAACCCTTCTTCCATTCTAAAATTCACACAAAATCAACCCCTGTCTATTACAAACTCCACTCTTTTTCACCTCAAACAAGAGCTATCAAAACCCTAATTCCTCTTTTCCTACTTCATTTCAAAACCTAAAATAAAAAGTTATGACATTTTCAACAGAAAAAGACAAAAGGGCCATGCAATCTCAAGCATACTCTCAGAAATTAAAAAAAAAGAATTTTTACAAAAACCCAAAATGAAAATGAGATCAAGCAATGATTTTTACATAAAACAGATAAACCCTAGAATTTATGAAGTTCCAATCAAGCTTGATAGATCAATACAAATACATGAATCATAAAACAACACAGAGAGTTTGCATTTAAGAAAAGATTATTGTGTTACCTTGTGGGAATGGCTGATTGGTGAAACTTGGAAGAGATGAAGGTGATGAATGGGTGAAGGTGAAGAGAGAAAGAGGAAGAAAAATGGAGTGAGGTTTATTAGTAATGAAGTAGGAAGTGAATTGGAGTGAGGTTTTGAGAACTGTGTGCTGACAAAAATGGTTAATAGTAATAATAATATTATTATTATAGGATTTTTTCAATAAATTAACATATCTCATCTATTATACATTGAATAATATATATGTTATTTACTATAAGGAATTTTTTTTCTTCATGTTTATTCAATATTTAAGATTTAGAGTATATATATATATATATAAATCAAATATATTAATTATTCAATAAATTAAAAATATATAATTTATATTTATAATAAGGAAAAGAAAACTATAATTTAAAAAGTTATATATTTAGTTATAAATTTGATTAAGATATAATTATAATTTTTATTGATAAAAAAATATTATTTTATGAATTTTATGTAAAAGTAAATACTACGTTATATTTATTTAAATAAAATATTTTTATATCATTTAAAGGATAATATGGATATTTAAATTTTTTTTTTTTTTGGTAATTTAAATGTAATCTTTAACGTAAGAAATTATATGTTGCTATGAAGGTCTCTTTTACTTAGGTTCGTTTTAAAGAAGATAAGTATATATCAAAGAAAAAAAAAAGATAAAGTTTTGAAGATAAGAGAGTGTCAAAGATGAACAAAGTATGAAGAATGATCATTGGAAATTAAAGAAAGTAATTGAAATGATTAGCAATTTAAAGGTATATATTACGATTCATTCTATATTATTTTGAATGCTTAGAAATTCTTCTCAAACTTCATATACAAAGTTTTTAAAGATAATGCATGAAAACTATTGAAACTAAGTTGTCAATTGCTAAATTTTTCGTGAAAATTATAGTGGTATGATAATCAATTATCTATTTAAATTTTTTAATTTTTCAAACATTAGGACTATGGTAATCGGTTGTCACTTGAAGCAATGCAATTTTTTTTATCAAAACAACATAGTTGTTTTGAATGACAAATCTTTATGAAACTTTTTCAAACTTATGCATTCTCTCATAGAGGGTTTTAAAGGTGTAAATAATAGAGCAATAGTTGGGTAAATTGTTTCTAGATCAGAAAAATATGGGTTTCACTCAACCATTCTTAGAAGAAATCTAGTATAAATAGTTCACGTGAGTGTTATAATTTTTAGAAAATAATAACGCAAATGTTCTTAGAATCACATGGTGTAGGAGTATGATGTGTCATTAAAGAATGATCATGCATACCCACTCAGAGTGTTGAAGTTATAGAATAGCCAAAGCTTAAAAATCATTGGAGTAAAGATGATAAAAAAAATTCTATATGATAAAAGTTCAAAAAATATTCTAGCATCAAAATTAGGAATGGACAAATTCTTTAGAGTTTCAAATCGCACGACAAATATAGAAATTTGGGATACATTAGAAACAACACGTGAAGGTACGGAGGAAGTGAAAAGATCTAGATTGAACACCCTTTCACAAGAATATGAAATGTTTAGAATTTTACCTTAACAAACGATTCTAGATATGAGATTCACCCACTTGACAAACCATCTAACTGTTATTGGAAAAACCTTTACAATTAGATAATTAAACTTAAAAGTTCTAAGATCCCTGACAAGAGCATGGAGACCAAATGTGACAGCCATTTTCGAAAAGAAAAGCTTATCAAAGATGACATCGACAATACTTTTTAAAAAGTTACCAGAAAATGAATTAGAACTTGGTTGATTATAACAATGTTGTGAATCGGATACCTTTAAACAAAATATAAACGATTTCTTAATGATCAAAAAACACACAAGGGTTATGGTTAACAAAGAAGACAAGGTAAAACAACAAGGAACAACAAGGATTGGTTATTAAACTGCTATTCTTTCCTTTCTCTTAGAACAAGATTACAAGTATACAAGAATAACAAAATAACCACTCTCCCTTGAAATTAGGATTTTATCTTCCTATTTTTCCTTATGCCAAGATTGAGAAACTAGCATCCTATTTATAATAAAACAGCACACTAACCTAATGGGCTTTTTAACAATTACCCATTACAAGCTAACTTAAACAATTGGGCTTACAAGCAAGGCCCAATTAGACATGCTAACAACCCTAGCAATATTGACTAATGCATGTTAGAACAAACTTCGACTACAACACGCATTACTCGCGAACAGGCTTCGACAACACTAGAGTTTGATCCAACATCTCACAAATCTCCACCTTGGACCTAACTCTATAACATCAAGAAACTAGCTTTATTCATGCAGATTTATTAACTGCATACAGTGGAAAAACTTGCAACTGGGCAACGTCTTGGTGATCATATCAGCATCATTATGATCTGTCGAAACCTTTAGGACTTGGACTTCTCCACGCTCGATTACCCCTCTGATGAAATGCAGCCTCACATCAATGTGCTTGGTTCACTCATGATAGGATGAATTCTTCGATAGGTGTATTGCACTTTGACTATCACATTTAACAGTGATAACTCGATCTTGAAGTTTTAACTCCTTTGCAAAACCTTCAAGCCACAATGCTTCCTTCATAGCTTCAGTTAGGGCAATATACTCCACTTCAGTGGTTGATAAGGCAACGACCTTCTGAAGTGTTGTTTTCCAACTAATTGTTGTCCCAAACATAGTGAACACATATCCAGAGATAGATTTTCTAGAATCCATACAACCTGCATAATCAGAGTCGACATATCCTTCGATTGCTGCTTTACTATCTTCACCCGAGGCTCCACCATAAATTAGGACTCTATTCATAGACCCATTTATGTACCTTAAAATCCATTTACAACTGACTAACCTGGCTCCAGCAGGTTTCTTGATCAGTTCCCAGGTGTTGTTATCATGAAGAGATTTCATCTTATCATCCATGGCCTTCAGCCATTCAGTCTTCTTTCGACTCCTCATAACTTCCTTATAGTCTCTGGGTTCTTCATCTAGAACCTCACTAGCAGAGATTAAGGCATAAGTTATAAGATCTGCATACCCAAGTCTCTGAGATGGCTTGATGACTCTCCTCGACCTGTCTTTTGCTAGCAGGTAATCATTATCAGTCTCCTCATCTTCGACAGCATCTTCTGCGTCTTCTTCGACTTCATCTGGGGTACGCAATTCAGCATCAACATGCTCCACCTTAACAGGAATCTCTCCCTGTTCCAGCTCTTCGTCAGCATCATCATTTTTCTTGAAAGCCATCTCTGCTTCATTGAAAACTACATCTCGACTGGTGATACACCTCCTGTGACCTGGCTCTAGGCACCATAACCTATAATCTTTGACTCCTTCAAGGTACCCCACGAACATGCATTTCAGAGCTCTAGGTTCGACCTTGTCTTTCCTAATATGAGCATAGGCCACACAGCCAAATACTCTCAGTTTGTCGAGACTAGGTGGATGTCCCGACCAAACTTCTTCAGGTGTCTTTATTCCCAAGGCAGTCGAGGGACATCTATTTATCAGGTAAGCTGTTGTCGAAACAGCTTCTGCCCAAAACACCTTCTTCAATCCAGTACTAACCAACATGCATCTAACCCTTTCAAGGATTGTTCGATTGAATCTCTCAGCTAAGCCATTTTGTTGGGGAGTACCTGCTACAGTCTTATGTCTTGCAATCCTAGACTCAACACAGTAACTGTTGAACGCTTCGTTGCAGAATTCAAGGCCATTGTCGGTTCTCAACCTCTTAACCTTTCTGCCAGTTTGAGTTTCGACCAGAATCTTCCAACTTTTGAAATTCTCAAAAGTTTCATCCTTCGTCTTCTGAATGAATACCCATAGCTTTCTGGAATAGTCATCAATGATGGATAAAAAATACCTTGCACCTGAGTGTGAGGGATTCCTTGCAGGCCCCCAAAGATCAGCATGAATGTAATCCAGGGATCCATGTGTTCTTTGCTTGCCTTTGTTAAACTTTGCCCTACAGGATTTACCAAATACACAAGATTCACAAAATTCCAACTTTTCGACTTTGTCACCTCCTAGCAGGTTCTGCTTCCCCAATTCGACCAGGCCTCTTTCGCTGACATGGCCCAATCTCATGTGCCATAATTCTGTCTTCGACATAGATTTCGTGGATGCAACATTTGTCGAACCACTTACAACCTCAGCCTCAAGGGTATACAAGCCTTGTTTCTTCATGCCTCTCAAGACTTCCTTCGACCCCTTCATGACTCTTAGGATACTTTTCTCTCCTTGAAAAATGTATCCTTTTATGTCGAATTCACTAAGAGAAATCAAATTTCTCTTCAAGTCAGGTACGTACCTGACTTCAGTCAATAACCTTATTGACTCATCATGGAGCTTGAATCTCACAGATCCAATACCTACAATTTTGCAAGATTTGTTGTTTCCCAGCAGCACAGATCCAGCATCTTGATCACATAGCTCCTCGAACAAATCTCTGTTTGGAGTCATGTGCCAAGTGCAACCTGAATCCATAATCCACTCTTTCCTCGAGTCGCCACTTGAAACCACAAGAACATCAGATGAGTCGAAGTCATCTTGAACAATGGCTGCATTGCCATTACCTCCATGATCTTTCAGGCGTTCAGGGCACACCTTTCTTATG